TACATGTTACTTTGCCAGAATGAAGAGCTTCTGTACACAAATATTGCTATTATAGACCAATTAAGCCAATTTTGCAGATTTGTTAGTTTGTCAGTGTGGGAAACACTGACACAATGATATTTATCAGTAAGAGCTACAAACAGATTAGAAATCTGTAGCTAAATGAAAATATTTATATAGGAAAAAAAAGCTTAGTATACTAAATAATATTTCTATAGCATAAATTGTAAGGCTGACTTGTAAATGAGATCTAAATGCGATCCCTGTAAAATTTGAAGAAAGTTCATTAAAATTTGAACAGCAGTTAACACAGGGAACGTGTACACCTTACAATTATTTAAACTTAAGTGGAGATGCCTTTATAATTCGTGCAGTTATCTATAACACTAAATAGAATTTCAACCCGAAACACAGCAAATAGCCTAAGAATAACTTTAGATATCAAACTCAAATTGGATTGACAAGAAAGTGCTGAAATATAATCAAATAATAAAGCCGATATTAATATATGGTATACAATACAGCAATGAGGTTTTGAAAAGCAAATTAATATTAAGAAAATACAAACTTTCCAGAGCAAGATGTTTCGTATTATTGTAGCAGCTACCGGATATGAGTGCAATTCATAGGGACTATGGGTTACATTCATAGGGATTTGAATGTTCCCGAAGTAAATGAAGAATCAAAGAATCGTGTCATTTAATTTTGAACAGCATGTGAATAATGAGTTTTGGGACAGAAACACTGAAACGAACGAGACCTCTAGATTTAGCTTAAAGCGTTGAGAAAGTATTTCCATCAGGGATTATAGACACAAAAATACGTTACAACAAACTTAATGGTTATTCTTTTTGACTAGTTTTTCAAAGTTCTAACCTAATATTTACAAGTAAGTGCACCTCTATTTACGTCTATTCATATTTTCACGCACATTTCTAAAAATTTCCTTAAAATACAATGTTAGATTTTTCATAAAATTTGATTAATTTTACATATTCGGTATTTAATATTTCCGTTTTAAAAACGTTATACAATTATTGATTAGAGAAATCTTAAATTTAAGAAAACAATTTCATACATAGTTATAGAGAAAATTCTGTAGGAACTAATTTTCAGAATCCAAATATTTTTAATAAAAAAGTTTACATATGTGTCTTAAAAATTTCAATCAATTGTTTGTGTGCATCAAAATAATTACACAAACTTTTTGAATATGAATAAACACTCAAATCCGTGCTCATATACATTTATACTGAAAACATATTTATGCAATCAACTTTAAATTTCAAATAAAAAAATTTTATGCATTTTAGTAAATTAAAATTAAAAAGAGGCAATATTATTTGCTGACGTCAAATGAATTGCAAATAAAACATAATAAGTCTTTTTTCATTTCAACATTCGTTGTTTAATTGAGGATATCATTGTTATTATTCTAACTCAATTGCGGAAAATGTATGACTATGGATTCTTAATAAACATTAAGAATTTTAATGTTATCAATGGAAGACTCAACTAACGTTCATATCAGCAATTTTTTTATTCGCAATTGGGCTTAAAATAATGTTGATTAAAAAATTCAAGAGCAATATACGAAAGAATTTATTTAGTATTAACATTAACAGTTTAATTGTCCTTAAATTGTATCCGAAATGATAATACATCTCTTTTAGAATGAGTTACAAAAAAAAAGCAGCCAGAAGTTTAAAACTGCAATTCTCGTATATCAAAAACTGTATGATTTTAAACGCGCGTTATTGTAGAGATATAAAATATGAAACTTGTCACTTTGTGTATTGAAAACATGTTTTCTTACACACGTTTTCACTACACAAAGGATAATATGGAAATCAAGGCTTACAAAAAAGTTAAAAACAAAATTTTTTGTTAATTTTTGTATGGATTCAAAATAAGACAAACAAATTTTGATTGCATTTCATTAGCTTGAGGATCTGTTAGAATTTTGGTGAGCGTATAGTAAGCAAATTCTAAACTCTAACAAATTAGATTCTGCGGATTTAAAGAGTTAATGTCCTACAATCGTTAAGGAAATATTAAAATTATATTGTAATATGAAAAATTATTTTTAAATTATTAAGTATTAAAATGACAGCCGTCAGTCGATACTTTCAAATACCAGTCAAATTTATAATACGAATACCAGTCAAATTTATAATACGAATACATTTAGACGGACGAGCACAGGCAACTTAAAATGTGCAATTATTTTAATCCTTAGATATTGTTTTAAATTACATAGGTACTTTGTAACAATAAACTAAAAATTATCTACAATAAAAAAATAAAAAAAAGGAAAGCATAAAGGTAAATTGTAATAAAAAGCTCATTATAAAAAAAGCAATCACGTTTTATATACCTTTCATGAAGGTTCCATTGTTTTACAAAGCTTTAATACTTTTTTTTTGTACTTTTATACCATTTATTTGTTTTTTTTTTTATTTTTTTACATTTTATAAATTGTTATTTCAAGCAGTTAAAATAATAAAATTCTTATATACACAATGTTAAAATATTTATGTAAATTTTTTTCTGTTAAGTATGTATTTGGTTTAATGGTACTTCTCTTTCTCTCTTCTCATATACATAGGATCCTTTAAAAGAGAAGAGGTGAAAATAAGCAAGTAAATTATTTAAGTCCAACCCTCTCATAAAAATGAAATGAAAATACAGAATTTTTGAAACTTGGCGTAAAATAGACTTTACAATAAGAGAAAATGTAAAAAAGTTTTAATACAATTGGTGCAATCATATACTGACTACTGATTGTCAATATTTGTGTAATATAAGCAGCGTTTTATAAAAATTGATTGCCTGATTTTAAAATTTAAACTTATGACAATACTGAATGAAAATTTTAAGTCTAAATTTTAAGTCTATTCAACGGTCCAGGAGAAAAGGAAAATAATAAAAGAGAATAGCAGTGAAATTTTAATAAAACTCTTTTATATTTTGTAATGATAAAAATATATCAGAATCGCATATAGTTAGGAAGAAAGGTTTAAGAAAAACCCTATAAGAAATAAATAAGATTTTAAAGTCAAAAGTCAAATATATCAGACTTCAGTTCATGCCATTTGCAGTTTCGTTTCAGGACCTGTATTCATAAACCCATTCTAAGTAGTAAACAAATTAATTGCTCAGAGAGTTAGAAAAGAAATAAGAAACAATTAAAACATAGCATTCAAAAGTTTACGATTTTTATAAAAAATTTAATCGAGAATATTTTGATTTTAAGTTATTCGGGGCAATTTACAAAATTTCGGGGCAATTTACAAATTAAGTTTACCTGGAAATCTAAAATTTTCTAAAACTTACAATTATGTAACCATTGAATATAACAATTTATTATTATTTAAAAATAAGTTTTCCTTTCCTAATATTTCTCAGTTAAGCCAATATAGAAAAATACTGAGAAAATATATTCCAAATTTTTTAAATACTGTCCATTTGCATCTCACCTTTTAAATGAAAATGAAAAACCAAAATTCAAATAAGAATTTTTTCTATTTATTTACACTCATTATTCATATAAGAGCACTTGTCCGTATATATACTTACACACGTTTTATAATATTTAAATCTGGTGTATTATTGCTCAATTGAAAAATGGAACCATTCTTCATTTTTTCTCTCCGATTATGAAAAATAAAATAAATAAATTGGCAATAATATAAAAACCAAGTTAATTTTTTTGAGTTTAGCTCCGCCTTTTAAACTTGGTATTTAACAAGTTAAGAAACAAATCTATGCTGCTAAGAAAAAATAATAATAACCAAGTTTTATTCTCTCTATCATATACTCTTCACACACTGCGTTTACAATAAGTATTTATATTATTGTCTTTTTCACTCCTTTTATAATAACGCTTGCTTCTGCTTTTTTCAGAGTATACTCTTAAATTCCCTATGATAGGAAACAGTTAGAAGCGTACAAATATATTTTTATTCTTTTATTTTTATTTAAGAGCGCATGCTCTGTTTTACCTTGTCTTAAATCTCCATTATAGTTTTTTATCTTTAGTTTTTGTTAGAAATGTGTAAAATGTAAATATAATCAAGAGTATTATGTTTGTCTTGTTCTAGTAAATTTTTATTTATATTTTTTCTCTCTTTTCCCCACATTACATGTGGAACGATATAAACGACATAAAAGAATTTTTTTTTTTGCTTTTTTTTTTTACCTTTTTAGTTCTTATTGCATTTTTATTTTAATTATTAATATTATATCGTTTAAAAATACCCCACCTCCTAAAAGGCAAATCGTTTAAGATAACAAAAAGAATAAGAAATGTCAAAAAAAAAATAATAAGCAGCTAAATGGTACGTACAAACACATCTACATTTATAAAAGTATATGAATAGAATTGTAATGTATGAATGTAGTTATAGAATTAAAATAACCTGTCCTATTTAAAAATAACCAACTTAGGCGAATATTAAATGTGTGAGTCTACTCTACAATGCTACGTACAACTCTATATTGTTACGTATGTACGTATATGTATGTAGGTATATAAGACGAAAAAAATAAAGAAATAGTTAAGAAGTAATTCTTGTCTTACAAAAAAACATGTTCATAGTAATAATGAACATAAAAAAGAACAGGAAACATACATACATACATACATATGTAGGCATTCACACATTTATAACGTTTAAATTAAAAACTTATCGTGTCACCCCTTGTAAAACTGATTAAAAGTGTCAGTTTGAAACTTATTTTTTTTTTATACTTTTATATTTTATTTTTATTAATAAATAGTTGGGCGGAGCTCTTTTTAAAAGGTAGATATAATATTCGTTTTTAAATAGTTTTTTTTATGTTTATGTATATATACATGCACAATTTAGTTTAAAGGTACTTTAACATATTTTTGAAAAAAAAAAAACACAAATAATAACTATAAAAAGTAAGTATAATCCGTGTAAGTTAACAAAACAACGACATCGTTGCTGTTTTTATATTCGGTGCGATTAAAAATGAAAAGCAGTGGCAATCAAGAGTAAAAAAAAAAGGAATAACATAACATGTACAACATGAAATTAATAATAATATGAGGAGTGAAAGAGATAAAAAATAACCTGTATGAGATCAAAACAAACAAATAATTGAAAATAAAATCAAAAAAAAAAAACCTGATTTTCGACTAACTCTTAAATGAATGAGACGGAGAAGAAAACAAAAAAATAAACGAAAACAAATTGAAAATAAGAAAAAAAAATAAAAGATAAGTAAAGTACAATCAAAACGAGATGATATCGTTGGTAGTTAAAATTAAACACCAGTTTTATTTGACGTGCCCGTGCGGTTAGTTGGCTTACAATAACTGTAATAAGCATTATTATTAAAAAAAATTAAACAATATTTAATAAAAAAATAAAACGAATACTGTAAAGAATAAAATATAAAAATTTTTTAATTTTTGTATTCTATTTTTAAAATGACATACGATTTGTCATCTTAAACGTCATCAAATCCAATTAATATTACTTAAATGTCAATCAAAATGAGATGTCATTAAATTAATTGTTAAATTATCATGAAAATTATATTGATATTGCAGATTGCAAAAAATATTTTTTGCATAATGAAATTTAATTAAATTTTTAATTGATATTTTGAAAAAAAATTAAAAATAAATTTAATAAAAAAACTAATAATTTGTCATTAAAAGAAATAAATTGCAAATATTATTTATTTGTGTGTGTGTGTAGACTAAAACTGTAGTGGATTACAGTCAAACTTAATTTAATTTCTAAAATAGTTATTCATAAATTATTAATCAAAATAAATACATTCAATGTATACCACTTTCTACATACAGTATTTAAATAAAAAATAAATATAGTAAACAAGTATTTAAGTGACCAGTGGTATTCTGTACACCCAAGAAAAGCTACAATATCTACAGTAAATAAACAGTGCATTTTAAAATTTGTTACTAATTAAAGTTTTCTAAAATAATCAGAAATTGATGAAAACCAAATATGAATTAATAAAATTTATAATTTAAACAATATTGTGTGGAATTGTAAGGATATACTATTAGTAATTATTATTTCTGTGCCTTAAATTATAAAAAATCAATTGGAATATAAGAAACTTCATATTTAGTAGTTTCTGATTAAAGTCATAAGTGTATTGTGTAAAGAATAACTTAATAAACCAAAAATTATAATATAAATATTTAAGTAATTGACGGTGTAAATGTTTATAATTAAATCATAAAGTATATTATGTGTATATACCTACATATGTACATACATTCGTAGAATAAATATTTAATAAAAATATTGAGAATACAAAATTAAAAAATATCTTAATTAAATTTTAATCAAATAATATATATATATAGAAAAATAGGTACTATAATCAAAATGTCAGCGCATGAAGATGATGATCATGATAATGGTGAAGAAATAAATGTTGATGTTGATTCAGATTCAAGAATGTCATGTGGTAGTAATGGTTCTGAAGATATTGATTTAGATGGTAGTGAAGGATGTTATGATAATGATTCAGAAACACCTTTAAGGTTAGTATAATTTTTAAAATTATAGACTAAAATAACCTGTATTCAAAGAAATACATAACTTAAATTTCGAATAGTTTGTTTTATCGAACTATTTAATTATACATTGTATCCTAGTAATCGACTAATAACTATCCTAATTTCATTTTAACTATCTGTAAATTATAAGTTACCGCCGGTAAAAATTCCAATAACAAAATTCTTAATATGTCTCATCCTTTGTGCATATATAAAGATGCAAGAATATTCCTTTGTAGATTTTTGAACCACTTTTAGGGAATTTTAATATAGCTGTAATTATTCAGTACACACAGTCTTATCAGAATCTACTATTGGAAGAAGGTAAAAATTTTTTCTTAATATTAAAATTAATTATTTTTATAAAAGTGTAAAAAATTCTAAAAAATTCAGTAAATTCAGTAAGAATTCCGTAAATCAGAATAAAATTTTTTCACTTATTCAAGCTAGGTTGTATCTTTGGTTCTAATTTCTCCCGCTTATCATAATATGCTGTATAAATTTCATTAAATTCCGAAATTTCTTGTTACTAATTTTTGATTAAATATCAAGGGTAGTTCAATAAATCAAAAAAGTACAATATTTTAAGGCAGGCACCTTAAAGCGAAATTGTAACCAGCTGGACTCTGTCTTTTAAAGGGTTTAGGGAACTATTTATCCATAATTATTTTTATTTAACGATATTGATTTATTTTGTTGAATCAAAGAAATTTTGACTGTTGTTTGTGAACATTGAACTTTAATTACGGCAATTGCAATTGCAGGTTCATGTTTTCGGCAAAGTTTATGTTAAGCATTTACAATGGAAGTATTTCAATAATTTTATTTCTAAATAAGTATAGTACAGTTATAAAGTATGATATACGAAATACAATCTAGTAATAATTTATAAACTTATAGTGTGAAAGAGTATAGTTTTTTGAAATTTAATAATCCTTGATGGAATAATAATTGAAAAATTGAATTAATTTTGACAGCCTTGGAATTAACAAATGCATGTCCATGTCAAAATATAAACTTATTTATCAACTATTATACAAGATCACTAATTTAAGCATCTATGTACAACAATTAAAAAGGTTATATAAAAATTATAAACAATTGTAATCAGCAAACAAATTTTAATTTTGATTATAAAAATAATTGAATGTCATTCACTTTATAATCATTTTTTTTATCTTCCATATAGAAAACTAGTTTTAATCATTAAAATATCTAAAATCTTAATATTCAATTCTCATTACATTAAATTCAAATAGGTACAATCACTTCAGAATTTTTTGAATTTAATTTTAATTAATAATTAATTAGCTTTTATATTTTTAATTTCAAAAATTAATTATTTTCTACTAAAATTTTCATAATTTTATTTTACTGCTATAGAAAATAATAGTTTTATTGAAGTACTATCTGATTATTCAATATATTTAAGGTATCTAATATTTTTTTTTTAGTATTGCATCACAATCTGTTTTTTATACCCATATTTTCAGTTGTATGAAATATTTAAATGTAAAAGAACAAATACTTCTATAAAATTATTGAAAAAAATTTTAATAAGTAATTTCTGGATTTTATTAATCACTTGTTAGAGTATTTTCATTCATCAGAAAACATGAATACCAATTACTTATTATACATATATAATAAGTTCTCAATAATTAAAAAACAAATTAAAAAAAAGAAAAAAGAACATTTTAATTGAATAAATATCACCTATACCTACATACAGATATATATATGTATATACATGTGTATAACGTAAAATCGTTGATTAAATGGCAACAACTCAACTTGAGGCTTTTAATTATATTAAGTATATCAATCTTTTACATACATATATACATAAACATAAATAAATATTAAAAGAATATAATATATGTATGTGTACCAGTATAAGTTAATTTTACAATGTGATAAAACTTGGTATCCCAGGTGCAAAAAATTATCTTATTTTTCTATTTCTTCTCTCATTCAATATTTCGCTATACTTATACAATATTAAAGTGTACATGTTTTTGTTTTTCTGTATTTAAATATTTCTATATAGTTAAATGATTTTATTATAAAATGTTGACAAAATTGATATGTACATATTCATATTATTTAATTTATGTAAATTCTTATATGTAAACATACATATCTATACGTAAATTACTGCACAGTAAATTTTTTTCAACTAGATCCGAGTAAAATACAACTAGAGTTGCGCTCCTAGATTTTTCTAGTGAAAAAAAAATCAATAGATTGTCTAGTTTATTATTTCACTGATATTCTAGTAGATTTAATTAGAGTTGCCCTTGAAAAAGCTAGAGTTCTAGTTATCTGGATAACTACCTTTAAAAGGAATCCGAAAAATATTTCTAGGGGAAAATGCTGAATAACTTTTTATTTTCCACTGGTATTTCATATAACTTAACTGCGTTTTCAATGAAATACACTAGAATTCACAGTATTTTAAGTAACCAGTTTCTAGTGAAAAAAAGCAGTATTCTGATAAAAAACGCTGGAAAACCTGTAAAATTTTTTTGCGGTATTCTAGATAACTTAACTAGATTCACTATGAAAAAATACCGGAATTTCCATAATGAAAGTTACTTGATATCGAGTGAAAACACACAGATTTACAGAGATAAAAAAAACTAGAAAGCACATTTATTTTTCCTAGAACCACTTGCTTGTTTTACTAGGCTTCCAATGATAAATGCTAGGATTCCCAATTTTTTTAAAGACTACCCTCTAGTGAAAGTAAGGAGATTACTAGAGAAAATAAGAGAATTCCTAGTGAAATAAACAAGAAAATCTTTAAAATTTCTTACGGTATTCCTGTCAGTTTAACTAGATTTTCTATAATAACTTTCCAGTAAATGCCAATATATTACTATTGAATAAAACTAGATAACGATTTCTTTTTTCATCATAGTTCTAGTTTTTTTAAATAGATTTCCTGCAGAGAAACCTTGGGATTCCAGGTTTTTAAATAACCAGTTTCTGCTAAATAGGAATAGATTTCTAATTAAAAAAGGCGGCCAATTTCCATTGAATAATTATTGAAAATCTGCTAAATATATCTATCCTATAGTATTTTACATATGGTTTGGCTAAACCAAAATTTTCGACAATTCTAATGTTAAAACTTTTTATTAGGAATCTCATCACAAAAAATTTCAAGCAATATAAATTACATTTATGATAGAAAAATAACAATTTTTGTGTCTTACATAACAAATTGTATTTTTTATTTCTTAGTTTTATAGCGTTTGACAAGAAGTTTTATGATAATGTTCTTATGTTTTTCCATTTAACTTAACATAGCACTATTTTGTTTTTTAATTACATTTTCTCAATTTTTAAGTTGTGAAATCATTTTTACATGTTGCTCACTAACTTATTGTAGAATGTAAATTAAATGAAACAAATGTGTAAGTATAAAAAAATTATGGTATTAATTGAAATGTGTTATATTAACTAATTTTTATATTAGGTATTGAAAAAATATGCTTGAATAAAGTAACTGAAATATTAGATAATTTATAAAATCTATTGTTTGCAGCATAGTTAAAAAAATGGTAAATTCAGAAGTGCAAAATTCAAGTTCTTGTAGTCAACGTTACAATTAGTAGTATAATTTTGTTGCTTATATATAGATACGTTATAAATATTTTCAAACAAAAATTTAACAAAAAATATATTTAATTCAAAAAGTTAAAAAAAAATAGATATTCCTCTCATAAACAAACTGCTTTATACAGTACGATTATTTATAAAAAAGGCTATGAAACTTGCTGGAGCACTTCTAAATTTAATCAATAATAAAAAATATTTTATTATTTGGTCATAATACATTTTTAGTATTAGTATTCAAATTTATCTACATACATAATCAGGTATAATATTTTTCAAAAAAGAAAAAAAAAATAAATAATTAACATTCCTACTTCATAAAAATAATATATGAATATGTATAAAGAATGGTTCATTTCTTTACATTTAATATAATAACATTATTATAATGTGTATTTAGATGATTTGTCATCTATATCATTTTGCAACACTTACATACATAAAATTATGAAAATTCTATAATATAACCAAACATTAAATAACATTAATTGGTAATTTTTTGATATAAGACCGAAACAGTACCCACAGGTTTTACATTTTTCATTTTGTACACATAAACTTCGAAAAAATTTAACAACTTCATAATTTTTTTATCAAATTTTAAATTCAAAACGTAGTGAATTTTGAAAAGAGTATCAAATGCTGTAAGAAAATCGTTTGCGCATTCCATAATTTTTCCGTCAATTACTAAATAAATGTTTTCAGTGAGGCGTGAAAATTTTTCAGTACATCTACAAACGAGAAACGGTTGCTTATTCTCGCTATCTAAAATATTTTCTATATTGGCATTAATCTGAAAACAAATATGTTATTTAAATTTAAAAAAAAAATACAAAAATCTAAAAAATAACAAGACAGCTTTTATATCTCACATCAATCCATTGAACAAGAGGTTTTAAATCTTCCTCTGCAACAAGTTTTTCCCAATCATCTAAATTACTCGCAATCAAAGCATTAGCTTTTTTCAAATTTCTGCTTGGCAGCATTTTCAAAAGTGTAAATATTTTTCTTAAGTTTTCTTAATAAATTGAAAAATAATAAGTTAATTAAGTTTTCTAGTTAAATTTATACATATTGTAGCTCACCACATTGAAGAAATTCTGTTTCCTTCCTATAAAACGGTTCCAAGTTAAAATTTTCCAATTCTTGAATAGTAGATCTGTTATTTTTTAAAAGCTCAAACTCATTTTCAATCTAGAAATTAAAAGCTAATTTTAAAAACACTCATAAATTAGTTTGCGATTTTTACAATTGCGCCCTTGTAGGCAAGAAATATTGGGTAAGTATCCAATATTTTTAAATGTCCAATTTCAAATCTACGATTTTCAAATGTCTCGTTCATTAAATATTTTATGCGATTGAAATTTTGTTCTGTCGGAATCAATGTCTTCAATTCTGCAATCTAAATTAAAAATTTAAATAAAAAAATACAGCTTAATATCTTTTTTCAAAAACTTAAAAAGTGATTAAAATTTTTATACTATAAAATCGGGCTTAAGATAAAAAAAGGTATTGTGTTAAGTACTAAACTTTCCCAAATACTGAAAAATTAATAATTACCAAGTTAGCATTAATGTTCGGGTCTTTATTTGGTTTGATATTTTCTTTTTGTCTCTTTGCTGAGAATTCATTTTTTTTTTTTGAAGGCGACAACGTGAGTCTAACATGTTGCAAGCGAAATTCAATTTTTCCAGATGCCTTTTTTCCTTTAGGAGATCCTTTCGGGTCGAACCAAAGAGCCTGAAATATAGAAACATATAGAAAGCTTTATCTCAATTTTATACTTATGAATTTTACATGGGCAGGTATATCTGGACAAGTATATTGCCCTAATTGTGGATAACTAGAAACTATAGCCCGAGCTAGGTTTGTTTTATCTTCTGTTTTGGGATAACTGAAATAAAATTCATTAAAAATATTTAAGACTAAAAAATATTTTGTAATTATTATTGAACGTTACTGATACCTACTTTCCGCAAACGTTTATCAAATCATCAACTAATATACGATTAAATGTGTTCAGCTCCTTTACTGAAAGATTTTCTTTATTTAAGAGTTTGTTCGCAATATATTTTCCATTTTTATCCTCTTGTAATATAGCAGTCAAATTTCGGTTCTATTATTGGAATTTCAATTTAGTTATAACATACAATTAAATATTTTTTGAATTTATACTTGATTATATTGTTGTGTTAGCAATATTGATGTTGTATCCGAAATTTCAGTTTCCGTTTCATTGCAGTATGTAGTCTGGTTTACAAATGTTATTAGACTATTGTTTTCCATAACATCTTTTTTAAATTCCTGCAAGATTTGCAAAAGTTTTTTTCTCGGTCCAAGTTTTATTTGTAAAGCGATTAAATCTTGTTCGTTTATTTCGTTTGCCATTGTTTCATCAACACCTTCATCTGCCACCGCAAATCATGGTAAAACTAATTTTAATACTAATACTAAATCCTATTTACATATTACATTTACATATTTTATTTAATTTTATATTAAAGCAATTTTCTATATTTAATAGCCACAAACTTTTCTTTTTTCCCATATGCGTACCATACAACATTTGGCCTATAGTCTGCTATTTCATTCAACTGTAAAACTATATTATTATCTTTTACGGAATGGCATACTTCAAAAGCATTGAGATGTTCACAAAAATTTTTTATTTTAAAGATTTTACAATTAAATAATATCTTTTCACCAGATTCAAAAATTTCAGTTATTTCTGCAAAACAAGGGAAAATGCTTTCCTCAAAAGAAAATCTGTCGCCAAGAGTTATTATTAAATTAGCTCTGTATTCAATATTTTTGTATGATAGCGATGAAATTACCTTTATTTTATTAGTATTAGGAAAGTATTTTTGAATAAAATTAAGACTTTTAGTAGCAGTTTTTTCGACGTATTTATATGAATTTACATACGTTTTGTTCACATTAAAAAAGCAATTTGCTATATATGAACTTTGACATAAAGCTTGTCGTTTTGCTACACTTTTTGGTACATTTTTGAAATTTTTAGCTACAATAATTTGATGTTTCAATAAACTATGTTTGCTTTCATATCTAAGACAAGACGAAGTATTTAAAGGTCCTTTTTTTATCATACATTGTGGGTAGTGCATAATATAATGGTGTTTGTTAATCATTTTTTTATTAGGGAAAAGTTTTAAAAATAAATCATGATGAAGATGGATAATTTCATCTAATTCACAAATCAAATGTGAGTTTATATTGTCGCAATAAATAATTTCCAACATTTTAATTAATTGAACTAAAATAGTTATATACTCCTCTTCACTTGAAGGTACTATATCAGATATTAGAAAGGGTAACGATCTCAACAATAACCAAGTTTGAACAGCTGATTGTTTGATTTTGTTTGCTTTTGAATTGAGCATTAACTGTGTGAAATTTGCACTGGGTTTATTTTTGCGTTCAACAAATCCATAACGAAATGATTGAATTCGACTATTTAGTGTTTGAATTGTTAATAATTTTTTTTGAACTATCAACTTGTGTAAAACCAATTTTATTTCCATAGGGACTATACCCTCCAACAAGTCGTGCATAGGATCAAAGTTATGATTATCCGTACAGTGAAAATATTCATTGTTCAATGTAGAATCTTCTTTAACCCCAAATTTTTTTATGTTTAACAAGTTTTCTTTTATTAGTTTAATTTGCTCATTGTAGTTTTTAAAAGTTCTTAAGGGAAATATTTTGTTATAATCTTTTTGAAAACTAGCTCTGTCTATTAAACACTCTCTGCAAAACATATTAGAAGAAGGACTTGTAAAGCCTAAAATTTCGTGTACTGCGAGATTATCTCCTATTACACTAATAAGGTTTGCACGTAGCGTATATGTACTCCCATTCTTCAGTAGCACTTTAACACCACTGTCAGATGTAAGATACTTGAGATCATCATTAAATGGTTTAAGAACTTTTTCAAAACCGTATTTTTTCAAATCTTCGGTGTAACAAACTGCTAATAAAAATATATTTTTAAGTTGAAAATATAATTCTGATGGTAAATTTTGAATTGTGTAATAGAAAACTGCTAATTTATGAAAAGTTGCTTTTGAACCTAAAGGATTAGCTACTTCTAAATCATCATAATACAAATTGAATCTAATTGCATCTGGATATTTGTTCAAAAACATGTTCTTTTTAAAGTGTTCAGAGTTTTTGTATGACAGACCATTACTATTATTATGATTTTCATTCCTTATTATTTCAAAGAAATGTTCATTTTTAATAAGAGATGTTAAAGTATCTGTGATTGAAATATATTGAAAACTTTCAATTTGTAATTTTGAAAAACTTTCTGTTTGTTTAAAAGCATTTTCAGTTCGATGCCCTAAAAATATATGTTTTGGCTCAACGTAGGTTTGGTTTTTCTTTAAATCATTTAATTGTGTTTGAAAATTTACGGTTCCTTTAAAATGATTACTAATATCGAAAGTGTTTAATAATTTAATTGTCCTGTACGAGTTTAATTCTATATTATTTTCTGTTAGAAAATTTGTAGTTTCTTTTTTCAAGTAATAAGATATTGTTGCAGCAATATGACTACATTTTGAATGGAAGTCTTGTATACTAGCCTCTGTGTAATTTGCGTTACATCGTAAATCAGAAAAAGCTTGATGTATTACTTCTTTGATATTAAATTGATTTTCAGAATTTGAATGCACTTGTAAAATTTCAGAATAAGAAATATCTTCACAAAAGTAATTGTTTTGATTAATTTTAGGCTCAGAATTTTTATGTTTTTTTGTAAAATGACGAAAAAAGTTCCTGAATTGACAAAAACTGGACATGCAATCATTTTCAATGCAAATAAAAATTCCACTTGCGTTTGATTTGGAAAAGGGTATATTATGCTTCACGATGAAATGATGTCTAATATCTTTGGCTAAGTCAGATATATGGTCCAAACACAAAAAACATTTCATTTTCTAATATTTAAAATAAAATTGATAACTACGAGTATGTAAATATTTTATAAAATGTAAAAAAAATTTAATAGAGGTTTCTCAGTTGAATGAATGACAGTTACAAATTTTTAAAATTGATATCTACTTGTTTAAGTTAAATTATTTAAAACCATAGATTGAATTTATATATGTATAGTATAACATAAAAAAATTACACGCATACATATAAATGTCGATTACTGTATGCGTAAAATGAATTGTCTGATATAAATAACACAGAAAAATTACAGTTAAAATAAAAAAAAGTTAAAAAATAATTAATATTTTTTAAAAGTGATATTTTACTTACTTCTCAAAATTTCTGCAACATCACTGCTAATACCTTTTTCCACCAAATAGACAAAAAAAGCCTCAACGTCCATATTTTGAGAATTATAAACCTTAAAATAAAATGTTTATGCTTATGTTTACCTGCAAACATATACATATGTATGTATGTATTTATATATTTTACCTCCAAAATATGTTTCTTATTTTTTATAAAATTTTCTTTAAAACTTATTTCTTTTAATTTGTTTAGACTGTTTTAAAATTTATTTGCAATAGTTTTTAAATTGTTTTCACTATTTTTTAATTTTTTTGTACTATTTTTATTATTGCTAATTTTTAATTTACTTTAACTAAATTCACAATTAAAGTTCACTCTTCGAAATTCCTTTCAATACTGCCGCGTTATTCAATTCTTTTTAAAAATCTCTCCAAATTTGTTCAAACTTCAACTGAAATCAAGTGTATTTTACTATTCCATATTTAATTATGCTAGAACCTCCCAAAAAAATTTAAAATTTGCAAGAAGTCTATTGATATTTACTATCTTTTACAGAATATCACTAGATTTGCATTTTAAATATACATGTATGTGTATGTTAAGTTTATAACTATGATAATAATATGAGTATGTAGTTTTCGTTTGAATAATATTAAAGCGCGAAAAAAACTTGGTGGCGAAAAGAATAACGCAATAAATAAAGAAAGCAAATATGTACATTATTAAGCAAAATAAATTGAAAATTTCTTTAGATTTAATAAATATTAAACAACAAACGAGCAAAATTGAGATAGCCTAATAAAAATAAATATTTGAGAAACATCTTTTGAACATGGTTAATAAAAATATCTGGGAAATAATAATTTGTTAAAAAAATTTGCAACTTATTTGGCATAAAAATGTTAATAAAGATATGAATTTTTATATATTTATAAATTTTGAAAAGACAAGATTTTGAAACAAAATCGAGTATTCTTCTTTAGACGATTTATTTCGTTATTCCTTTCACCATCAAATTTTTTTTATTTGTTATACACATACATATATACATATGTACGTCTGGACTTAAAAAAAATGAAAAGAAAATCAAAAAAATTTGACTTCTCTGTTCTTTGTTTTTTTAATATATTCATAAATAACTGTAAAGTGTAAGCCAAATATTTCAAATAAAATATATATTAACTATGTATGTATATGTACACATTTTATACATTTGTGAAGTTTGATTTCATGGCTACCTAATTGTATAATGTAGAATTGTATACATTTTACGCGCGTAATAATAATGTGAAAAATAATTCAACATGTAGTTACATGTTGCGTAAAGTGTGGCCATATCACGATAATAGCATATAATTTGTTATACAAGGAAATTTAAGTTAATAACAACTGGCCCAATAATGCTAAAATATTTGTAATGGCTAAAATAGTTTTATTGCATGAATTTATGTTTTTATATCTGAAATATGTACCATAAAACTAAAATAATAAACATATTCTAAGCATTTTTTCTTTTTAAAAATAGCCAAAAATATCTTATTTAAATTAGTGGGTAACAAATGTGCTTGTTCACTTAGCTTTGCTAAAAGCTAAATATTGTACATTCTTAAATATGTACAAATATAAATGCACCGAAGTATGAGGGACTATAAGTACAAATGCACTGAAATATTAGTCATATGATATTCAATTCTTGAATTAATTAATATAATAATATTTCAAAAAAAGTTTTCTTATTATATTATGTTTAAATTTTTGAATTATTTACATATATAAAATATATAAATTTTTATATATACATGCATAAGAAAAAAATATACATAAAAATGCATTACATATGTATATATACATACTATTAATTAAAGGTTTACGTGCATAAATCAAATTTGAAAATTTAAATCTTTTGTTATGTTGAAATTTTTAGTTTTCCATGTAAAATTTATAATTTAAAAAATGTAGACATGGTCACACTCTTAAAAAGCGTAAAGCGATACATAAACAAATGTAGAAATAGAATAGTTAAAATAGTGTGACCACATGTAATTGGTTTTGGAAAGTTAAAATGAAAAGTAGCTGTAATAGTAATGTTGAAAATAACAAGTCCTTAGTCCTTTCGAAGCTTCGACTAATAATCTCCGAATCTATTAGCCTGTTTTTGTGATTTAATATTACATTCTTCTCAAAATTTCTTAAAACTATAATCTTCATATTTAAACTTTTTTACAATGCAGCAGGAAATAATTTAAATGTAATGTTAAGACTTGTTAAATTTTTGGAAAAATCATAGATTTTATACTAAATTCTATTTTACTAAATTTTGACGCATTTACTAGTTTGAATCCTTTATTTGACTTTAAAGAAAACAGTAAGACAAAAAGGCTTTCGATGTTCATTTTAAGTTACTATTTATAGTAATATGTATGTATTTGAACGAAGAAAGTATCAATTATCAACAAAGTATGAATTATTATGTTTAGGAAAAAATTCTAAGCTATTTCACAATAGTAATAACAGATTTTTTTTACAAATATCAGTTTTTACGAAACTAAAAATTTTAAATTTTTGACAAAGTTACCTTTTTTTTACAAAGCCGCGCTTTGTACCAAAATCAAACAAGAACAGGGAAATTGCAATGTAATTTAAAATAATTTTGCTATTGCATGCTTATTTCTAAGTACTATCAAATTTTAATTCTTAATAATGTGTATTATTCTATTTATAATTTTATCAAAACAATTTATTTTACCCAATGAGCTTATAACTTTTGCTAAAAGTTAGCTTATTGGGTCAATTACAAAGCAAAGTTTAAAAAAGCACGTGTTATTTTTTTCGATGGTGTGTGGTTTCTTTGTATGGGTAATAATATATAGTATATAGTTCGGTTTGTTTTGTTTAGATTCCTTTTAAATTTACTAGATCTCCGGACAACCGCCAAAAAATCGAAATCATGAAACCGAACTCCGTCTTTTTCTTCCAGATTCGACTAAAATTCTCTAGATGTCAAGCTATCCTGTCCGTGGATGGAGTCTATTATTTTTCTCTTTATTCTATTTAATTTTGCTAGACATCTCACATTATTCAAATGCATTAATGGAATCTATTGATTTTCACAGTTTTCCAGTAAAAATTACTTCTATTCTATTTCGCATATTTTCAAAATTGCAAACTGGAAACTATAAAATCGGATTCTGTTCTTTTCGCCCAGATTCTTTCAAAACTCCCTAGATTTCTAGTTATTCTGTACGTAAATGGAATATGTTATTTTTCTCTTTATTCTATTTAATTTTGCTAGACATCTCACATTATTCAAATGCATTAATGGAATCTATTGATTTTCACAGTTTTCCAGTAAAAATTACTTCTATTCTATTTCGCATATTTTCAAAATTGCAAACTGGAAACTATAAAATCGGATTCCGTTCTTTTCGCCCAGATTCCTCCAAAACTACCTAGATTTCTAGTTATTCTGTACGTAAATGGAATCTATTATTTTTCTCTTTATTCTGATTAATTTTTCTAGACGTCTAACATGCTTCAAATGCATTAATAGAATCTATTTATTTGTATAGTTTTCAAGTAAAAATTACTTCTTTTCTATTTCGTGTTTTTCTATATTACTAGACAGTAATTGTTGTTTACTAGAATTCTATAGCAAAATTAATTTCATAGAACATCTAGTTGTAAAATACTAGATTTCTAATTCAAAAAATTGAAATTACAAGAAAACTAATAAATTTTCCTTGAATTCACGTGAATTTCGTCACTAGAATTTGTCTAGTTGGAATTCACTCGCTAAAATTTTTACAGTGTGGTATTTGAATATATTTGTATACCATATAAGAATATTGAATGATAATGCATCTCAAGACGTAATTAAATTACTGTCATCTATTAATGGATAAGAATATGTAAAAAGTATTTAGTAAATATTACTAAATTCTTAAATCACGACATATTAATATCTTAATATCCAATTATATACATACATACCTACTTGTATTGAAGTACATTGTAGGTCTTTAATGTTGCAAACAAGTGAAATTTTACAAGAAGACGGACTATTATGATATTAATTACTTATATTAAGTGTAATTGTTTTAAAATTTTTGTTATTTGAAAGATGACGTGTATTATTTATGTATAGAAATTATACGTGTATAAATTGTGTTATACAAATAACAAATTAAAATATATAGTATATTTTTATGCTATGCGGTCATAGGTTCTTTGGACACTGCTAAATTCATTAATTATAAATCCTTACATTTACGCTGCTCAACTTAAATTAAATTTTGATCATTCAGTCAGAAAAATAAGAAAGTAGAATATTTGAGAACAGCTTTAAAACTCATAACTTATATTATTTACTAAACAAATATCTAGATATGATACAAGCTGCCAGAATTATTAAGAACAAAAATTTTATTATTATTTGACAACAATGTAAGGCATTACTTGAAATATTAAGTTTTCTTCAAAAATTGTTTCAAATTTTTACATGAAATCACTCAATAAATAAATGAATCTTATTTAGTTTCCTATCATTTTCATTGATATAGTTTATAATAAATGTAAACTTGAAATTTAATTTTTTCAATTATTAATAAATAATATGCCAATATATAATATAGCAAAACTTGTGCTCACTACTGTATACAGACGTAATGTTATAAATATATATGTATGTATATATAAAAATTTTACATACATTCATGATCATCATGATATTGCGTTAATGACATGCTCTTATCCATTAACACGAATTAAAGAGAGGATGTATAATATTATAGTTAAATATTTTTATACTATACACACACATAAATACATGAATACACAACCTCTTAAGTATTTACTTATAATATTAATAATATATATTATATATATATAGTAATATTATAATTAGGTCTATGTATATGCTATTTGTAAATAAGATTTTAATTGAAGAAAGGAATGAAAAGATATTGATGTATAATTAATTTATTTTAAGATTATATGAAAATAAATTAATTTTTGAAATTATTTTGTTCGCTATTTGTATATGTATGTGTATAAAACCTATTAATTAAAATGACTAGGTTTTATCAGAAAATTAAAGAGTAAATTAGTTAAAGAATTTTATATAGATGGCGATATTTCCTGTTAACTACATTTAAGTAAATATTTTATTTAACTAGATGCAAGTTCTTGTATTGTAAAAGAAAAAAAAAGATTAGAAGGTACTCGTATAACTAATTAACATGTCAATTAAATAATAGAATTTACTTATGTTTACCAGTGAATGCAAAGGACATAGCAAATAAAACAATGTATAGTGCAAGTTCTAACTTAATGATAATAATAATATGCAAAATGGTGTTGTAATATAGACATACATTTTATAAGAATATATACTTAATTATTATGACAAGAAAATTTTAATTTGTTTCACTGCTTATGAAACTTTAAAGTGGTTTTATTAAGAGTGAATGGAGATGACACTTGAATTGAGCTGAATGAGTTGAATTTTGGTTCTCTTATAACAATTATAATCAAAAAAATAATATTTACATTCAATCGAGGATTAGAGTAACATATACACATAGGGGGCTGTTCTTCTCAACGATTCAATTAAATTTGTTGGTATACAATTATAGTATTGATTTAGAATATTTTAGTAATTATTTTTTCAGTAAATATAACTTACATACTTATCTCTTTAATATAACATTTATTTTCCTTAAAGTACTTAATTTTTTTGAATTTAAACCATACACTTATAGGAGATTACAATTTTTACAATTTTTTTTTTTTTGTATGCTACAGTGAATCTTTACAATCTGAACAAACAAGATCATCAAGTGAAAATTTACCATTTAGTATATCAAGATTATTATCAAAACCATATGAAAATAATAATAATAAAAGTCCAACAGATAAAGAAATTAATGAAAATGATATTAGAATAGCAACAAGTTTAGCATCACAACATTATAATACACAAGCAGCAGCAGCATTATATTCATATCCAATATATCCAACTGGACATGTATTAAGAGTACCACCACAAAGATCACCATTAGCCTGGGCATTACCACCATTACATCATGCAGCTTTAGCTCATCAAGCAGTTAAAGATAGATTAGCAGGTGAGTTTTTTTTTCTTCTTGATACAAGCTTCTTTGTTGCTAATTTTGTTTAAAATTTAATAATTTTTTAAATATATTTTAAAGCAATTTAAAATACATTTATATTTTTATATACATAGCTATATATTATGTATAATTATAATAGAATAGTTTATTCAAAAATTATGATAAAAATTTTTATCATATAATAATTTTATTGCATATAATTTGAAACACATAATTGCTACAAAATACATACAGTTTTCTTTTATTTTATAATTTTGTAATAAAAAAGAATGGAACTTTAAAATTAATATAAATGAATTAATAAATGTATTTTATGTATAAAATGATTTTGCAAAAGTTTACAAGAAAACCAACTGCCAACCAAATTGCCCTCTATATATATATGTATAATGAAAAAGTTGCTTTTAAAATTTAAACTGGAATAATAATTAAATTTGTTTACGAATTTTATGAACTTCGAGTTCTCAATCCTTTATTTCATATTTATGAAAAGTTGTCTGACAAACATATAATTTGTTTTTTTTTTCGAAAGTCAATAAAAATAATGACAAGCTATAATATTATAGCATATTAATTATGATATTATACTCGTACATTGGAATTAATGAGCGAAATATTATAAAGAAATTAAAAATTTTATGATTTTATTTAAAAAAATTTATGGAAATAAATTTTTTAATAGATGTTTTTTTAACGCTAATTTAATGGCTTTATATAATCTAATATAATATTGAATAAAATTTTAAATGATTACGTACATTTATAATTTCAAGCTTTCAGCATATTTCCAAAGAGTTTTGGGAAAACAAGCCCTTTGCGTTCATTGTGTCAGTTTGTACGCCTGCCTTTCAAGGAAGATTGAAGTATTTTTTTGTCATCAATTAGCAATACTTCATTACTCGCTGTGCTTAAAGTAAAACCAAACTGAAAATTCAGCTAATACTGAAGGAATGAAGTATATTTTTTGAAGACCTATGTATATCATAAAATATTAAAAGCATTCATCCAGGTCATTTTGATTTTTTGTAATTTTTTGCAACTCGGATTGACTTTGAATTTTAGGAGTTTAGAGTTATTACCCCTGAAAATTTGCAAATTCACAAATTTCGTTCTACAATATATTTACAATACTCCAATGAACTTCCACAAAAACATGAATTTAATTGCTAAGTATCGTCATTTTATAATAAAATTTTAAGGCATAAAGAATCTTATTGATTCTCTTAATATAAATTGACTAGCAGTCAAATTTGATCTATCTATATATTTTATGATAAATTTTTACCTTATGATTATTGTAATCAACTTTATGATTTTGACGAAATTTATTCAAATTTTATGACAATATAATATTATACTAGATAGAATTAATAATAGAATTATTAAGTTTTAAATCTTCAAAGCTATATAAAAAATTCAATAGTATACAGAGTATAGGCTTCATTATGTGAAGTGGAAATGTGCTATTTTACATGCTGCGGGCTTGATGCTTGACATGCTGAATGTAGTATTTTTTTAATTAGTTTGTTTTTCAGTAAAAAACAGTTTTGTTTTATCAATTTGCAATTTAGTGTGGAATTTTTAAAATAACTTAAAATTTTACAATAAAAAGTTGAAATAATTACAAAAGTTTGTTAAAAATATTTTTTTAATGAATTATGTAAGAGAAATAAATCTATAGTGGTACAAACCAAATAAGATTAGAGCGGCCACCATTCTCATCAATAATTTTTGTGTTTTGGACTGTGTTTAATGTCAAAATTTTTTGTTATTAATTATGAAAAAACTCAATTTTGCTGTAAAACACAGCAATAATATTCAAAAGAAACATACATTAAATTAACAAGAAATAAAAAACTGAGAAACGGAAATATCACTGATTTTATCGTGATATTTTTAAAAGAACATAAGAAAATCTCATTTTAAAATCAGCTACCGAATTTAGCATTACCGTCCAAAGCAGCATCTTCCAATGTTATTCAGTAATTTTTCTTTTATTTTATTTTTGTACTTATATATTACTGTTCGATTCATCCGTTTGACTTTATCTTAACAACACTGATTTTTATCGTGATTAAAATCAAACACGCAACAACTGTTTACCGTATATCTATATATATACTATCATATGTTTTAAATATTATAAGAGCCACCGAAAAGTTAAACATTATATAAGATTATAAGATAACAAACAAATAATTTTTATACCTATATCACCTGTACCTACCAAGATGATGTCGACAATGATAATATTGATTTTGATGACGGTGTTGATTGTATAGTGATGTTACTGAATGGTGTTATTTGTTAATTTACCTTTATATATAAGCTCCGGGGCGAAGAAAAACACCTTATCCTCTTTCATATACGTTTTCAAGTTATTCCAAATTTTTTTTTTTTTTGAAATCGGTTTACCAATGTTTGTTTGTATGTAATGTATTCATGAAGTTATAATTTTTAGATTCCGATTTTTTTCCTTTTACCTTTATCCGTTAATGGTCAAATTTTTGTATATAAAGAAGGTATTATAGTTAAGAAATTAAAAAATAAAACAAAAGCGAAATTAAAAAAAAATATCAAAAAAGAGTCCCGTGTTTATAACAACCTCATTAATAATTATATAAAACCTGGCGCTTATTATTAAAGGCAATAAGGTAAATAAATAAATATGTCATATATATGTATATAGATGGACTAAAGGGACATTCTTTAATACAATAGACCCATATTACATTATCATTTAGTTGTCGCAATATTGATAGACATAAAATGCTTAAAGATAATCTGGATTTTTATTTTATTTGATTTGGGAATAAAATGAAAAGGATTTCAATTGTTTTTGGAGTTTTTTAATGATTTTTAGATTCAAAAAGTTCTATTCTGTTATACGGGGATGTTAATTTGATTTTATATTATGAAAAATTAGCAAATATCATAGTAGTGTGCAAAGTATTAGGACAATAATATAAACCTATGTATATAAATATGGCAAAGTATATAAATTTAATTCATTCTAATATTTATAATAGTTTTTACAAAATAGTATAATTAGCTTGAAAGAAAAATAATTATCAACTGCAAGTAAACTGATAAAGAAATAAAGAATAACAAAATTCCAAAATAAGCACATGCAAGTAGAATTGAAAGCATGAAGATAAGTACCATTTATATACCATTAGCCATTAGGTAAACAGCAACTGTCTGCAATTCATTAAAAATGCGAGAAGCGAAGAAATAAAAAACTGGCAAAAATAAGCAAATTTGAGCTCTTTGAACCAAAACATCTTCCAATATTTGAGTTGATGTATATACTTTTACAAATTCTCCAAAATATGACGAAGTGATAAAATCCCCAATGATATGAAATGCGGAAAGCTATGTGTGCAAATCAACCGCAAAAAATTCTCAGAAACAAGGAGAGGGAGAGTTTTATTGAAATATGTACTATACTCCCGCAAGCAATAGCATACTTTAATTTCGAAACGAAAAGTTCATAGAATACCATTTTCATTATTTTCTGTGAGCAGTACATATTGAAATGATAGACATGTCTAATTACCTTATTAAAATAATCTTCAAAAAGGCACAGTGATTCGACTAATTTATACTATTATTACAATTTCAATCTCGAAGCAGGGGTCATCGCAGGGGATTAAATCAAACGTACAGCTGTCAAAAATGGAAATCTTTTGCATTTTGGTGATTATAATTCCTTGGAACATTGCTTAAAATCTTCTATATTGAGTTTATGTATAATAATTTTAATGAAAATTCAAGCCGCCTAAATTCGATTAAAAATTATTGTTTATTTTAATTACTCATTCTTATATCCTTTCTACTTAAAATTCTCTTATACATATTTCAACACCATTTTTATTTCTTTCTAAGAATCACCTCAATTAAAATATACACAAAAGAATAAAAATATAAATACAAAAAAAAATTAAAGGATAATCGGCATAATGAAAATGAATTTATTATGTGTGCGGTCTAAAAAATCAAAGTTGTAAGAGACAAAATCAACGCAAACAAGAAAATGAAGAAAAAAAAATTGAAAAAACTCACATAAAAAAGCTTCTTAAAAATCCCTTAGCAGTATGGTGAACATAGTCATTATGTATAACATAGATGAGGCAAAATATTAAGCGTTATTTTCTGTTTTTATCCAAATCTTTAATCTTTAATTTTAACTTTGTTTATCACTTTTGTTTTTCTTCTTAAAACTTTTGCTATATTGCGCATGTTTAATATTTTTTGTTTTTACTCTTTTCAAATATCATCATTCTTCATGCCTAAATCTATACAAATATTTGCAAGTTAAAACCCAAATAACTTGGGTTTGTTGTTATTATAATTGTGACATAAATGTAGGTAAATGTAATCCGTATATATTTGCCTTTTAAAATGATTTTGATGAATTTTAAAATTAATTTAAAAGAAGAAAATTACATAATATTGTAAATTTAAAGCTGATGTTGCTCCCAATTGATTTCCTTCCTAAAATGCTACCAAATTGAAAATTCCTTAGATAACATTTAAAATATAATAACATCATAACAATTAATAAATTTACAAGAGAGTTTCTTTAATCAAAAATGAAACTTTTTACGAAGGCTGTTATACATTTTATTCCATGAGTAATAAATTTTTATAATCGCTCTATATAATTTAAAGTGCTAATCAATAAGAAAGCATATGTATGTATATGTCATTCATATTTATAAACGTATGAGTAAATATTTTCACACACACATATGAATATGAGATAATTACACAAAATATACTAAAAAAATGGAAACACCAATGTTATTGCTCAAGTTACAAAAAAATAACAAAATCAATTAAGAGCTCAATTGTGAATTGAGAGCTCAGTTGGGAATTCAAATTGAGTTGAAGTCACAAAGAAGGATTGTTTTAATCAAGACGTAAACAATTGTCTTACAAACGAACTGTCAAAATTGGAATCGTACATATATGCAATTTTGAGAGAGTTT